ATATATATATATATATATATATATATATATATATATATATATATATCCTTTGTCTCCTTTCTTTTTGTCTCTTTTTCTTTTTGTCTCTTTCTTTCTTTCTATCTCCTTTCTCTTTCTTTTTGTCTCCTTTCTCTTTCTTTTTGTCTCCTTTTCTTTCTCTTTTTGTCTCTTTTCTCTTTCTTTTTGTCTCTCTTTCTTTTTCTTTCTGTCTCCTTTCTGTTTGTCTCTTTCTCTGTCTCCTTCTTTGTCTCCTTTCTTTCTGTCTCCTTATAATAATAATATAAATATAACATTAATATAAATATAAATATAACATAAATATAAATATAAATATAAATATAAATGTAATATAAATATAAATATAAATATAAATACAAATATAAATATAATATAAATATAAATACAATATTAATATAAGTATAATAACTACAATATATGTTTATATTTATATTAATAAATATAATATAAATATAAATATAATATAAATAAAAATATAATATAAATATAAATATAATATAAATATAAATAAAGATAAAAAAAGAAATAAACAAGTATAACATAAACAAAACAAAGACATTTTTGATATTTATAATATCTCTTTTTTTTTTATTTTTTTTTTTTTTTTTTTTTTTTTTTTTTTTTTTTTTTTTTTTTTTTTTTTTTTTTTTTTTTTTTTTTTAGGATTTTTGGATATCTTTGTTTTTGGGGCTTGGTTCTTTATCTTTGTCTCCTTCTTTTTCTTTTTCTTTTTCTTCTTTTTCTTCTTCTTCTCCTTTTATTTTATCTACTGAGCAAATAGAAACCCTTTTGCAATCAAAACCACAAAATATACAACTCTTATTCAGAAAGGTAGGGTTTAGGGTTTAGGGTTTAGGGTTTGGGGTCTAGGGTTTAGGGTTTAGGATTTAGGGGTTGTGTAGGGTTGAGGGTTTAGAGGGCTTATTAGGGTTTATTAGGGTTTATTAGGGTTTAGGGTTTAGGGTTTATGGAAGTATTGTGGTTTTATCTGTCTCCTTTTGTCTCCTTTTCTGTCTTTTTCTGTTTTTTTTAGGGTTTAGTGTTTTTGTATTTATTTAGGGTTTAGTGTTTACTCACCTGTCTCCTTTTTCTCTTTCTTTTGTTTTTTTCTTTTTTTATCTCCTTTCTCTCTTTTTGTCTCTTTATCTTTTTGTCTCTTTCTTTGTTATACATATTTGTCTGTCTCCTTTTGCATGTATATATATATATATATATAATATATAATACATATATATATAACATATATATATATATATATATATTCTGTGTTGCTGCTGCTGCTGCTGCTGTTGCTGCTGCTGCTGCTGCCGTTGCTCCTGCTGCTGCTGCTGCTGCTGTTGCTGCTGCAGCTGACGCAGCACTTGCTGCTGCTGTGCATGAAAGGCAGCAGCAAACACCTGACGCAGCAAGAAGAGGATTCC